TTCAGTCAGGCTTAAGTTTTGGTTTTGGTTTTTTTTTTTTGGTACTGGAGATCGAACTTGGGTCCTTGCACTTGCTTGCGCAGCAGGCAGCGAAACCACTAAGCTAACTATCTGGCCCAGCTATGAAACTTTTTTCTTTTTGTCTTTTTTTTTTTTTTTTTGGTACTGGGGATTGAACTGGGGTCCTTGTGCTTACGCAGCAGGCGGTGAAACCACTGGGCTAAATCCCCAGCCCTGAGTCACGCTTAAGTTTTAATACCCATTTGATTTTGTGTAGTGAAAGTACCATAAACTATGGTACTCATTTAATTTTCTGAATAGATTAGTGATTGTATTTTGTTAAGGTTTTTGGTTTTGGTAAGCAGATTGAGAATGGGTATAGATAAGTACTGAATTTGTTTTGAAGGCAACTTGACTAAGTTTTTTGGTTTTGTGTTGGGGATTAAGCCCAGGGGCTTGCCTCTGCTGTGCAAGCACTCAGCCTCCCAGCTACACCCTTAGCCCTTAAAGTTTGGAAGTTAATACCACACTACAGAATGCACAGGAAATGAGGAAGCCCAGTAGTAACTTACAGGGTTTTACTGGACATCTGTGCTAACATGGAGGGGTGGCCCCACAAAGGAGCAGAAGGGATTTCAAAGATACACTGACACACCAGCCTTGGTGGGGAGGTATCGTTAAGTTTCTTACTGGGCAGAGTGGTAGGTAGATTCCTGTAGTCCTAGCTACTCAGAAGGCTGAGGCAGGAAGATCACTTAAGCCCATGAGTTTGAGGTCAGCCTGGACAAAATAGACACCATCTTGAGAAACAAAATTTGTCTCCACAGTTTTAGTACTTTGTAAGTTTGGGGCCAGTCTGAACTACATTGTGAGACCCTTTCTCAAAACCCTGCCCTCGCCAAAGTGCTGTATGCTGGATCATTTTTGCTATTGGTATTAGGGATCAAACTCAGGACCTTGCACTTCCAAGGGAGGCGGCTGCACCAATGAGCTAAATCCCCAGCCCACCTGCACCGCTTTTGATTCCTCAGCTGAGGCAGAACAGGTAAGCATGATAAAACCTGCAGCTGTTTCAGTGGTGGAGGCGGGTGTATTTATCGCAAGGTATCTAGGTAGTTTGGAGTTAGATCTTAATAAAGTGTAGTTGGCTATGTTTTCTCTGAAGATCTTAAAAGGGATAGGCCAGTATATTTTACAGTCTTATCAGTTTAAAAAGGTAAAAATGTGGGAACTTATTTATTTTGTATCTAAGAATACACCTGTGCCATTTCCCTCAACCCTTTTGTGGTGCCAGGGATGGAACCTAGCGCCTTGCACATGCTTGGCAAGTACTTTATCACTTAGCTGCTTCTCCAGCCTGACTTCTTGCACTTTCTGAATTAATATTTTTTGATGTTTTTTACAGATTTAGTTGTTTTGGGCATAGAAAAATTCTAAGTATAAATTTTTAAATCTTTTCATTTAGTAGATAAGTATGATCTATCCCCTTTAATTCCTTAGGATGGAGTTCCTTTGAACTCAGGAACAGCAAGTATGGAAGCAATGGATTGTTTTTTTGAAAAGAACAGACTGGGGTGGTATCTTTGGGAGAGCTCTGATCTAATGTACAAGGTTCTGGGTACAACTCCGAGCACCATAAAAATAAAAATAAATAGATGTGAAATCTACAGTCACTACTGTCCCTGGAAGATTGTTTAACTGCTTAGTATCTTTAAATCTAGTAACCATTTATTCTTTGATAATTTGTGTGCTGATTATTTCACTGTTCTCATGCTGAGATCCATTCTTTTCCTACTGGGAGACTCTAGAGGCTGACCCTTGCTAACTGCCTCTCAGCTCCCGGGGACTGGCTTCCTGTGGTGTAACTCAGGAGGTGCTGACAGGATTGGAAAGAGGTAGTTTCTACTTTCTTCCGGTCTTTGCTCGCTGTTTTTGGAAGTAGCTGCTTCTCGGCAAGACCTACCACAACATCTTTGCTAGCCAGCCCCTCTTCCAGGGCTCTCAGCTGTGGATTTGAGCATGTATTTCTTTTTCCTGTTCACTCAGCCTGGACAGCAACAGCAGCTGCTATAGGTAATTGTGTGCATTACTATTGTTTTATTTTTTTCCTGTCTTTCATCCTGTCTAATAATGGTCTCTGTTTCTCCATGAATGCAGATTCTTGTCAGGACCCTGAAGGATAAGGAGTACTCTGTATAAAACTTCTAAAATCTTCCTTATACCCTAGGAGTACATTAGAACAATTGAAGCGTAAACCTTTTCTTTAGAGCATAGAATTACTATAGAACTTTTCCTATTCCCCATATGAAAAATAAAGGTAAAACGTGATAAATTCCTGATAAATATTCATTTGTTTTTGGTGTCGGGATGAAACTGAGGGTCTCGCACATCTTAAGCATGTATTCTACCACTAAATTAAATCTAACCCCCTGATTTAAAATTGTCAGCAGTATATAACACCTGTTTACAAAGGAAAATTGAAAGGAGTAAGTGACTTACAGAAGACCCTGAAGATACTACCCGACTTCCAACAGTGTCAGCCCATCTCGGATGGGCTGGCTGCATGACAGAACCTGAATTGTTCAAGTGACGTGACCGAACTGCACTGTGCACTGGCAATGTGAAGCTAAATGAGACCTGCTTCCTGTTCTGGAGGAGTGTGGGAAGTCCAGAAGAGAGGAAAAGATAGTGGGGCCGGGTGTGCTTGCCTGGCATGCGCAAGGTCCTGAGTTCGCTCTCCAGTACCAGGGAAAAAAAAGATACATATACTTTGTCCTTTTAATAAAGCATTATTCTTTCCAGGGTAATGAGGTTATAAGGAATATATGTTTTTCTTTTTACAATGACAAGGCAGTGATGTATCTGGCAGCATTCAAGTTTGGTGATTTTTTTGTGATGTTTAGAATTCCAGAAGCCACAAAGTACATTCATTTAGAAATTTAAAGAATGAATCCTTGGTATTCAGATCTGTGTTGTGCTTAGGTAAGCCAGAAGCATTTGACCAAATTGCAAGCCTATTTCTTGTAATCAGTACTAGATTCTGTGGCTGAAAAGGTTACTCGGGGTGGTGGTGGCAGCGGCTCTGCAGCCATTTATGTTTTTTCATAAAGCAAGGAATTATACTGATTTTAGAATAAATACAAGTATTAAGCTGCATTGTATAGCAGTTAGTAAAAGAATGTTACATGAATATTTACTGTCACATGCCAGGCACTGTTCTATGCCTTTAAACATGGTAATTGTTTTAATCTTTACAGTGCCCTATGAGGTAGAAATTTACTGTTTTACTGTTGAGGAAACATGTACACAAGTGATAACTAACAAAGGCAGAGCTGGGATTTGAGGCCAGGTGGTCTGAAGGGCTGCTGTTAGCCATGGTACTATAATGCTTCTGGATCACTGTGTGTTTGATGTGTGCTTTTAGTTAAAGTTGCTTGAGTTCAATCAATTTTTAGGACAAATGCACTTTTAAGTGTAAAATTACAAACTATTGTGCTGCATTTTAAGACAATGAAAAACGATGGCAGGTTCATTTTTCATAGAATCCATGTAAAAATTTTAGTTGGTACCCCTCTTATTTCTGGAAGTTAAAATCCGTATACAAAGCTCTAGAAAGGCCTGAAGGTGTAGTTCAGAGGTAAAACATATGCCTCATGTGTGCGAGGCCCTGGGTTTCATTCCCAGTACTGCAAGAGCCTTACTGAGATACAGAGTGCTTTACGTTTCAACACTTGGGAGTAAAAGCAGTTCTGTTTGGTGCTTCACCATTCTCCCTTTATCTTACTGTCTGGTGATGTCAGATTGGACTACAGAAATAGACATTTGTACGCTCTATAAAACTGAAAATCTACAGTGAAAACATGTTTGGACAGCAAGATCATTAACTGTGTTATTTGAGAAATGTTTCTTTGTTGTTTATCGATTGTTTTAGAAGAAAACAGCTTGACTGTAAGCCAAGATATTCATAACTCGACATCTGATTCAGAAGAATTATCTCATGCGATGAGAGCTCCATATGAGTCAACTGACTTCACTCTGTGTTACGGCTATAACCTGCAGCTGTGCTGAAAAAGGTGGGGTCATTAATCTTGGGGGCGAGGAGACGACAAGTCAAAGTCAGCAATTCATAAGCTCTGCTGTAGATTATCAGCTTAGAAATTCTTGCTGGCAAACATCATTTAATGTCAGTGCTGAGTATATTTGATTTTAATCATTAGGAATGAGAAGAGTATAAATCCTAGCTGTCTAATTGAAATCTGGGCTTATTACTGAGGAATATGATTTACTTACAGATAAAAGCCTGTTAAATTTAATGATCAAAGGGATCCTTTGGCAGTCTGATCGGTGGGTAGCAGATACTTGACAGATGACAGGAAGGAATTATGTGATATCACAGAACTTCATTTAGTGCAGCAAGAAATATTTCTGGTACAAAACCATACATAAAAATAGTTTGCTTTGTTAGGTTATTTTAGAACCAAATTTTTCTGGGTTAAGGTGCTGTTCTGGGGAAAGTACTTTTTAAAAGCTCAGTACAGTTTGTTTTAGTTAAGACACTTTTTGTGTCCTTGTTTCTTAAAAAAGTGTATTGTTGGGGCCGGGGATTTAGCTCAGTGGTTCCAGCGCCTGCCTCGCAAGCGCAAGGTCCCAAGTTCGATCCCTGGTACCAAAAAAAAAAAAAGTGCATTGTCACCCACTGACAACAATTTCTTTCAAGTTTATGTATTCATGGGAATGTTACAGTTTAAAAAGTAATGACCAAAATACCTAGGTTTATGCACTGTCAAAAGACCCTGTCTTTAAAAATGAAAACAAATGGGAACAAAAGCAGAAAAGCTGAGGCTAAAGAGGCAGGGAGACTTCCAACATAACCTACAGTCTGCAAGTCAAGTTTCAAGACAAGCTTTGAGTGAACAGATTTCTCACCTACTCCCTTTCACTTCAGGTGATTCTGGAAATGTGGTTTTCCTCCAAGGATGTATTCCATTCAGTCCCATTACCATGAGCAGGAGGGCCTTACTGGGAGTGGAAGGGCGTTGCCCAGGAATCGCTGAGATATAACATTAGTGAGACTACATTTCAGAGGGGTTCTACTTTCCAGATGGCTTCTAAGGTTAGTGACAGTATACAGTTAGAAGCAGACCTTGAGCCAGACTTTTAATCGAAAATGAGTGAAATCAACATGAACCATTGGCACCTGGACCCCACCAAGCTAGGAGTCTTCTCAAAGGTGTTAAACTATTGGGGAAAATGTTTCATCTTGAGCCTTTGCAACAACAAACAGCTTTTTTTTTTTTCTGTGAATTTGATAGACTAGGTAGAAATGTCCTATTGTAAGTGGCCTGGATTAGTAACAATACATCGATAATATTCATGATCATTCACAGTAAAGAAAACATGTCTTCCAAAGGGCTAGAAACAGGGCCTTCAGTGGGTTAACAAGTACCTCAAGGATCTCACAAAACCTCATGACCAGCCACTGCTGCAGAATGGAGGAGGTCAAAGTGTCCCAGCCCTTCTCACTCTTCAGTGTTTCAAGGCACCTGCTTGGAGAAGCTGTTTTCCTGCAAAGTAGTAATGATCACTCTGAATAGCCCAGCCACTGATAGCACACAACTTCCCTTTGGAAGGCATGCTGTTGACCAAAAAGGTTTTCTTCTCAGTTTCTTTATAGCATTTCACCTGACTCTCCAGCAGTCCCATCCAATGACCCAGAAGAATCCCTTCCCTTCCCTTCTAATGGAGAAGTCTTCAGAGCATGCTGGAGTGGGGTCCTTGGCACTGACCTACAACTACAGCTCTTCAGGGGCTGGAAGGAGGAAGTGGAGGAGGTGGGGCAGATGCCTGTGGCTCCTGATTTTCTTCTGTGGCTAATGCATAGCGCCTGGCTTTTCTGGGGTCAGGCTCTGGCGTCTCCTCTGCCCATCTTCCCACACGTCGCACACCTTTGCCCACTTTGGGTGCATTCCTGCAAGGATTATGATCATAGATGACCACCTTCAGACTTGACAAGTGGGCCAGGCTGGGGAAGTAGCGGATTCTGTTCCGGTCCACATCAATCACCTCCAGGAAAGGCATGTGAAGCAGCACAGAGGGGAAGTCAGTCAGCAGGTTGCCTGAGAGCCAGATGGTCCGTAGCTCTTGGAGGCGACGGAGCTGGCCTGGCAGCAGACGCAGAGCATTGGAGCCCGCGTGCAAAGTCTTAAGGAGACTCAGCTCACACACCACGTCTGGCAGTTGGGTGAGGCAGTTGGCTTCGATCCACAGGGTCCGGAGGTTCTGGAGCAGGCTCAGCTCGTTGGGGAGGTCGCAGAGTTTGTTGTTGCCCAGGTAGAGGATGCAGAGCTGTTTCAAGGTGCACACCACCTGGGGCAGAGCTTTGAAGTTGTTGAAATCCAAAGCCAGGATCTGGAGGTTCTGCAGCTGACCCAGCTCTGGAGGCAGGCTGTTGAGATGATTGTCACTCAGGTAGAGCTTGACTAGCTCCGTGAAGGTGCACACGTGCACAGGGAGGCGGCGCAGCTGGCTCCCACTCACATCCACCATCTTATCCAGTGGCATCTCCCGGAGGTCTCTGACCACATAGTTCTGGCAGCGGTCTGCAGGGATGAAGGCCATGAGGGCCCTGATGATGTTCCCCATGTGGAGCTAGAGGCACCTGGCCACCAACTCACCAAGCGAGTGGGGCTGTTCTGCTCACTGCCTTGAGGCTCCCCTACCCTCCCTTTATAACCTAGAGATGGCAGAACAAAAGCCAGTCACTTTGACAGAAAAGTGCTCCTGATAGCAACTTGAGTGTTAGATGACAGGTCCAACAGACAGCAGGGGCTGGGAGGCCATGCCTAACTTACATACTTGCCGTTAATCACCTAATCCCCCTTATCTCGCTCTCTCTTTTTTTCATTCCAGGCAGAAAATGTGTTGTTTATTCTGATAAAATATTAAGATATTGCATAAAGGTATAAAAGAAAGTGAAAATGCAAATTTTTCTACTATGAAGAGATAAATATTGTAGACATTTGGATGAATATGGGCCTCCATCCTTTTTGCTAAAAGCGATCAATTTGTTTAAAAAATTGTACCATATGAGTCTTTTATTATAATATATCATACATGTATTTTTGTTTCCAGGTATCTAAATAATTATTTTAGATGCCTGCATACTACTCTATTATATGGATGTACAGTGATTTAAACAGTTCTCCACTGTTGGGCATCTAGGTTACTTACAATGTGTGACTATTATAAATATTCTTGTACTGTACATACAGATGTGAACAGTGAGCCACTGATTTCTATAGGAAATGTCCTTAATGGTATTACTGGGTCAAAGGTATACATCCTTTAAAGATCTTTAATTGATAGTCTTCTCTCTACCAACACCAAACCTAGACCAGTGTATATACCCAGAAGCAGTGGCTACAGATGTCCATTTCCTTATTTCTTCATTCTTACCAGGTAATATCTTTCCATATTTAAGAAACTTGCCTTTGGATAGGGATGTAGCTCAGAAGTAGAGAACTTTTCTAGCATAAGCAAGGCCATGGGTTTAGTCTCTATCAATGGACTACCTACTTCCCCCCATGCCCCCAAATCTTGCTTTTGACAAAAGAGAAGAAAAGAAGAAATGAAGAAAGCTAGCCTTCAAAGGCTTAAATAGCTGAGTGTGGTAGCACAGGCTTGTAATCTCAGCACTCGGGAGGCTGAGGCAGGAGAATTGCTACAAGTTTGAGGCCAGCCTGGACTACATAGAATGAGTTCAAGGCCAGCCTGAACAACATAGCACGACCTAAAAAAAACAAAAAAGAAAAAAAAAAGCTTAAATAAATTAGAATGCATTCCCTCAGTGCAACTGTGTCAGATACATTTAATGTCTGTCAAAGTTTTGTGCTTCCCTTGTGTAGTATCCAGTTGTTGCAAGGAAGCAGCAGCCAGCCAGAACCTTTCCTAGAAGAGGGGCCTCCCAGTTCTGGCCAGTGGGAATGTGGGTAGAAATGTTTAATGTCACCTTTAGCCTTGGCTGGATGTTATCATCCAGGGTGACTGCAGAAGCTACCAAGTATGTGGAAGTCACATGTTCAAGTTGGCAGGGCCTCAGGTCATTCTGGATTCCTGAGTAAGTGCTAGGAGCAGACACCTGCCTTCTCCCACTTTCCACTCAACCACCAGTTGGATTTAAGTGAGAAGTACACTTTAATTAAGTCATTAAGATCCGGGGGCTTATTTGTTATATTATCTCATGAATAGAGTTGTCATTAAAACTGAGGTAAACCTACACATACTGATTTGGAAAAATAAATTGGGGGGAAAAAAAGCAAGATTCACAGCAGTTTTTTAATGATTCCTATCTGTGAAAAACTATGCCTATATCTTTGTATATACATAAAAATATCTGTAATAAATATGATTATGAGGGATCTGCATGGAGATTTGGAGGTGATAGGGATGCGGTCTTTTCCATTACACCCTTGTGTATACTGATTGTTTAAAAAAATGATAAGTTTAAAAACTGTAGTCTAGAAAACAAAAATGAATCAATCAGCCTACTTGTCCTCTTCAAAATGTGTCTGGGTGTGTGGGAGGAGTGGCTCATCGTTGGACCCCCTTCACCCCCTTACTCTAACAGACTGGGCTGAGCTATGGACCGGAACATCTGTGTGAACGATGGCTCTACTGAGACACTTAGTGAAGCAGAGGCACTATCTAATTTCTGCTTTCAAGGTCACCACTGAAGCCAGTGTTCTTAGGGTTTCTATGCATTGAATGTTGAGGCACTTGAGTCCTCTCCTTGCTTTACTTATAACTAATAAGTAAACTAGCCCGTCAACAAGTACCATGCTTTGCCTCCTCTATTTTTAGCATGGTGAGTGGTGACCACAAATGGTCATGAAGCAGCAGCCCTGTCGTCTGTGGAAATGATTATGATATATTGCTATTAGTTATGATAAATTGAGCATCTGCTACATATAAGTACTATGCCAGGTGCTTTAGGTGATTATGTAAATACTTTTTTTTTTTTGGTACAGAGGATCGAACTCATGACCTCGAGCTTGCCAGGCGGGCGCTGTGACACTGAGCTAAATCCACAGTGTTTATATAAATTGTTATAGCACAGGTAAATGTTTCACTCCACTTTTCAAATGAACAAAGGATGGCTCAAAGAGCCATTAATAATGACACTGAATATTTACTGGGCAGGAATATAGTGACTATCAATAAGACCCCAATCTCACAGGGTATCCAATTGTATCAGGACAGAGAGTCCACACAAGTTTACAGACTTTGCCCTGTAGAGAGAACTTTCACTGGGCACTTTAATGTGGGCCCTAAGTATAAGCAGGTTAAGTGCTATGGTTTGGATGTGGTTTGTTCCCTACAGGTTCATGTGCCTGGAAGGTCACCCCCCAGTATGGCAGCATTGAGGTGGTAGGAATAGTGGGTCAGGGCCTCCTGGCAATGGGTCAGGTCTGGTAGAAGTGGATGAGTTCCCATGGGGTGGTTTGAAAAAGAGCAAGCCTAGCCCTGCCATGGTCTCTTGCCTCTCCTTGAGCTCCCACCACAATACCATCCTCCATGAGGCAGTCATCAGGGCTTAGCAGATGCCTGCACACTGCTCTTTAACCTCCAAAATTGAGTTAAATAAGTCTGTTTCTGGGCCAGGGATTTAGCTCTGTGGTTCCGTCACCTGCCTCAAAAGTGCAAGGTCCCGAGTTCGATCTCCAGTACCAAAAAAAAAAGCCTGTTTCCTTTACAAAGTGCTAGTCACAGGTATTTAGTTACAGCACCAGAAAACAGACTAAGATAATAACCAAGTACCAAGAAGGTTTTTACATGAAAAATGGAAATGAAAATAAACAGAATAAAAGAAAACAAGAAACAGCAAAGGAGAGAGAAGAACAATCATGATTAATTATACTGTAATATTTTAAGAGAGTTAAATATAGTACCTAGTTGTTGGGCATAGTATTATTAGCCACTTAATCCTTATAACAATGCTAAAATGTATGAACAATTAATTTTTCCACTTGATATACAAGGAAATCAGGGAATAAGGAGATTCTGCAACTTCAACAAGTTAGCAGGTAGCAGAGCCAGGATTTGAACCCAGGTAATCTTGCTCTACAATTTGTGTTCTAAATATTGTGCCTCCTCTTGGATGACATAACATCCATGAAAAAAAAAAAGAAAATTGGCAGAGTAAAGACCAGCAGCAAAATACAGCCTCTCTGGAACCTAGAATTGAGACACCTGGAAAACAACTCAGTGAAGAAAAAAAAGTAGATCTCTGGAAATCAAGAAAGAGCTGACAGGAAAACTAGAAACTACAGAGAAATTGGAGAAACTGAAGACAACACAGAGACTAGAAGGAAGCAGGCTGGAATGCTAACCAAGGATACCTATTTTTACAAACACAAGGTAAGGCCTGAGAGGATCGACAGCCCCAGGAACAAGAAAGACTGGGCTAGCAGCACTGGCCCCAAGAAAAGCCCATAGTTATTGTAAGCTGCAGAAACAGTGTGGGATTTTACTGTGAAAGTAACTTCTTCTGCACGGCAGGCTAGAGTTGGAGAAGAAATCCATTCCACTACCTTCCATATTTGAGAGTATTTAACCAGGAGCCATTTTGGGAAGGAGTTAATCATTTAAGACTGAGCTAGTCAGGGAATCAGAAAATGCAGAACAGGGGCCGGGGATTTAGCGTAGTGGTTCCGCTGCTTGTCTTACAAGCACAAGGACCTGAGTTCTATCCCCAGTATCAAAAAAAAAAAAAAAAAAAAAAAAAAAAAGAGAAAACACAGAACAACTACACTTCAGTGTGTCTGGGGTTACCTTACTACAGTGACTGGGGAGCAACAAGATACAGTTGTGGAAAGGGCTGGGCTAGACATTAGAGTCCCTGAGAAGTTTAAAATCAGACCAGGAAGAATCCTGCCCACCCATGGTGAGAAGCCAGGATGGTGTGGTTTTTGGAGGGGACTGGGTCTGAAAGTGCTAGCATTAAGTCCACCAAACTGGTTGATCCCTCTGCTGGCCACTTGTATCCAGCACGGAGTTTAGTGGTGTGCTTAGTCTGTGTGCTTTCTATATCTGCCAACAAGGTCAGGGATATTCATTGGCTTGAAGAGTTGCCATACCCTGGTCGTACAGAAAAGGGACCTCTGGAGCAGGGAGCCATCTCATAAACCCACAGGCTGTAAAGGTAGGGACAAAAAGCAATGACTTGGGGCACATAGCAGGACCTGGAAACTGGGAGCAGCAGCATGTAGCCTTAGGCAGACACCATTGACCATACCCAGCAGGGAAAGCAGGGCAGGTCCTAGCACTTCCACATAAAAATCTGAGTGTGGAAACAGAATAGCACTGAAGTAGTGACTCACTATCCCTCTCCCATATTTGGTGGATTTCAGTGCTGCAGACCCTGGAAAGAAACTGCTTAGTTAAACACATGAAGGAAGTTTGGGGACTTGTTTCTCTTTTTTTGTTGTTGCTTTATGGCAGTTTGAGTTTTTTTCTTTTAAATTTTCTTTTTTCCCCCTCTTTTGCTCTTACTCTTTTGTACTTTTTTTCTTGTTTGTTCTTTTCTGTTACTTTTATCTATTAACTTTCTTTTACTTTTCCTTTTTTTTTTCCGGCACCAGGGA